CATACATACATACATACATACATATATATATGAAATCAAAGTATACCCCACAATAAAATCATCATCTCAGAGGCTAGTTTAGAATCCATACATTTAATTGACTAAGAAGATACAAAGAAACCAAGGCCTCCCTGAAACCTTACATTTTGCATTTTCTAGGGAAAAAATCAGACTTGGGGAACTAATGACTGACCTGATCAAGTGGCTTATTGCCCCAGCCAATAGCCTTCATTTTACGCTGGACCTCCCATTGCTTCTGATAGGCCAAAATACGATTCAGAGGCCAAGGATAAGGAGAACCATATCTTGGATTAGTGATCTTTAAAGGGAAAAAAAGTATTTTTGTGTTCTAATATAACTGAGAAAGCTGTGTTTTAGAAAAGACTAGGGTTACTATGATTTTATTGCCATGGCTGTGCCTCAGAACATGATTCTGTGCAATTATTTATAACTTGCACTAAAAAAGTAAGCCTTTAAAATTATATTAAAAACATTTTCACTTTAAAACCAGCATATCCAATAATGACATAGAGCTACTCTGAAATGTATATGCAAGCAAAATTAAAGCAAAAAAAAAAATGGTATCATTAGCGGTATAAACCTCTATGTTTCATTTATGAGTAGGGACTTGCAATTGTGAGCAAAAGTGTTTTCTCATTAAAATTTAATTAAGATGTATGCTGCAGAATCACTCACCTCCTGGACTGTAGCATCATCACACCACTGAAGATACAGCTAGAAACCAAAGAATACTAAACTTCATAACAGAGAAGGTTACACAGACATTTATTCCTTGCAGCTTTGTCTCCTAGCCCTACCAAACAAGCCATTAATAATATTTAAAACAAATAAATATGGTTACTAGATCTGTCATGAAGCAAGTACAATATTTCAGTGTACCAAAAATAACCTGAAAAGGACTGCAAAGTGTACATTAAAAGTGTGCTGCTTTTTGAGAAGCCCTGTTAATCATAAGTCCACCTTTTTTTGTTTTATATACAAATGGTAACTGTGGCTTGTAATATCACAAAGAAAATAGCATTTTACTCCCCCTCTCCAATATAATTCATTTCCCAAGACTGACAAATTACTAGTGTTTTGCCATACCTCCGCTGTCAAAAGCATATTATTGACTAATTCCATGTAGGCTTTCATCTCAGCTTTTTGGACTTCATCCAACCCATCACTAAGTGAATGGCCCTAAGGCAGGAGAGAAGGAAGGAAAGAGAAAGGAGAGCAAAAATTATCCGTTTGGGTTCTTTCCAACTTTACTGAAGTCCAGCGCTTTCACTCATTCAAAACAATCCTTTGTAACATTACACATTAGAGGCAGCTTTGTAGACCTCAAAGACTATTAAAGGCTCTGGGGGAGGGGGATAATATTGAAGTGAAATCTTTTAAATAGAGAAGTATAGAGTGATCAGTAAACAGAACTTCCCAGCTACAGACCTTTGTTTTGCTTTTCTGCTGAGTGGTTTTTATAAATACAACATCTTTGTAAATAAACTGAAGTGAGTTATGATGATGTAAATACCTTATTAAAATACGATGCATGGGTATTGATTTACAAGACTAAAGAAAGAAGCAAGAGTAAGCATAAATATTGATTATTTGGAATTTTTTAAGATTTAAACAAAGTGTTCTCTATGCAGTAGATTGCAGAAGCCAAGAAGTAAGTGCAACATTACTTCTTGGCAAAAGTCAAGATAGCAGAGAGAGCATGCAGCAATTGGGAATAGGCAACTTGGTGCATTTTTTAAAATCTTAATTTCAAAACCATAGTAGGCATGGCCAAGGATCAGGAATGACCAAAGTTACAATCTAAACCCTCTGGAGTGCACCAGGATGCCTACCCTATCTTAGATGTAGGACAGGATCCAAAGGGCTTTTGGGCAGCTCAGGCCTCTTCCTATAATACCAAGACATACAGAGAAATAACTTGAAAAATAAATGGAAGCCCCTTCAGAGAGACATCTGAACCACTGTAATTGGCAGAAAAATGTATCTAAAGCAGTTTTACCTCAGCTGAATCAATTGAGAATTCTTTAGGTAGTTACTGTTGAACCCTTGTTGTATTTCAGTATATAATCAGAAATTGGTTTACATTAGACAAATGTTAGGATTCCAGCTATAATTTAGCTTTTTCCCCACTTAGTTACTATGTAATTAGTTTAGAAATTTCTATCTACTCTATCTCAACTGAAAACAAGCAACAAGCAAGTTGCTATTATTATAACATTTCATCATGGTACTGTATAACACTTATACACTAAAAAGTCTGAGAAAAGTGTTGGAGAAAAAGGAAAAAATAAAAGTCTATTTATTAATGGGTTTAATTATGGAATTGGCTTTTAAGGACGTAAGAATTAGTGAGCAACCTGAATGAAATGGTGCTCACCTAAAATCAAAATTATACACACACACTTACACATCCTAAATGTATGGGAAATGTAAGCAAAAGAAAATATTTACATATTCAAATTATGTATATTACCATGTATGAACCCCAGAATATTTGGATTCACATCATGTCCTTCAAAGTGGAATTAACACAGTATCCAAGAGAAGTGTGGATATGGCTGAAAGGTCCTACTGGTTAGTCCTTTGGTGGGAAATTACCAAGAAATACCAATCCTGTAGGTTATATTAGGAAGTATAAAAAAATTCCAAAAGACAATTTCATGCTCCTTCGGAATTACTGCAAAGACAACTACAGGGACATGTCCATTACATCACCAGCTGAGCTTAATTCAAAGGAGACTTTATAGTACTTATCATTTCAAACTTCTTAAACTTAAGGCTCCTATATGTGCTATCTGGGGAGATCTAGGAGCTGCAACTTCAACACAACTAGAAGACATCAAGTTGAGGAAGGCTGCTATGCGTGCTGCTTCTGAAGTTCTTGAGTAATATAGATTTGTGTGCTATCTGGATAAATAAGTAATTTTTTTGTGTTCTGTATAGACACATATAGAGAACAAGATGAATATTGTACAGAATATTGTTTGTACCAAAAAAAAAAGTTCAGCCCAGCAATAACAATGTCTGCTAACAGATATAAATGTACAAGCCTTTTTATACATAAGCACTCAGCAAAAGAGTAACCCCTGAACTGGATGATATCCTAAAGCTTATTAACATAGTATTTTCTGAGGGAATAAATTATATTTTATTTTCAAAGCTATGATTTTATTAAATCACCAAGATAATTTCATAAACAAATAATTAAGACAACTGCTGAATAGGTATTTATCAAATTGTTTTAATATATACACATTACCTTGGCTTTTACAAACTGGACAATGGGGCCAAGTTCCGAAACTACTTGATTTCCTACATGAATAAAGGGCACTTTTCCTATGGGTGAAAAAAAGAGTATATTTCAACATTCATCACCAAGCATTACATTCTAAACCAGTGATTTAACTGAATTCAAAAGAATAGTGTTCCACTGAAATTAATGAGATTTCAATTTTGTGTTTGAGTTATCTGTTTTGAAAGATGCATGAAAACACTAGTTTACAGCATTTGTTCTAGGCAAAGGTAGTTGATCCTTTCCTGAATATAAATCTCTGTGAAACCCAAATGCTGTTGTCTTCATTCAGTGATACCAAGACATTCACTCTTGCTAAAAATCTGGCCCTTTGTATCCTGGGAATTTTGGACAGCACGCAAGTGTTTCTTACCCACACAGAAGAGCCACTGGTGTTGGACAATCTGTGTCAGACCACATTTCTTTGTAAAAGCTTCTACATGGTTACTTCTGATTCTGTTGTAAACTAAAAAAAACCTGAAGTATAAGAACCTTCTCCTGTTTGAGGGTTCATAATCCACAATATACCTTGAGCACCATTTATTAGCAGTAAGGCTACTGCACATGCACACATACACAAGCATGCATATTTTGTTTTGGCGTAATTCTGTACCATCAACTGACCAATTCTTAATTGTAACTCTATTTCTTCCAGAGGAGCAAGGAGATACAATTTTAAAATCAAATAGTCTCAATATAGTAATAACGAATCAAAGATTGTTGAAACAAATGTCACAAAGTATCTGCCACTTAGTCTTTGTTCCAAACACTAAAGTAAATGTTAAAGTTGCTGGGCTTTAACAGTATAGCACTGTGTCAGTTTCACAGAAGTCATGTAAAATATAAAAGATACATAGTTTAAAAAATAATATCCATAAACAGCACTCAGGGTAACTTCTGGCAAGAGATGCATCAGTGACATAGCCAGTTTTTGTGTTTTTAAAAAGGGGAAAGACGGATCACTATCACTTTTTATTCAAGACTGCTAGGTATAGTCTGATATCCGCTACTGATTTTCCTATCACAAAACTGTAGAATTTTCATCTTGAGACAGACTAGACACCTAGAGCACCTAGCCTAATTTGTACCCTTCTCTGTTTCTTCCTATCCCCCAATGAAAAGTTCTGAAGAATTCAAAAGCTTGCACACTCCTTTATGACATTTGACCTAGCTGTAATAAAACTAGCAGCCCACTATGATTCTAATAAAAATAATGATCTGGGCGAACTCTGTGCTCATACCTTAGTGACACAGAAACTGAGCAAACAGCGAACTAGGTTGCCTGGCGTTCATTTGCTGACACTGAAAAGCCGTAATCCTAAAACCTCTTACTGTGGGATAATATCAGTCTCTTCAATGAAGGACCACACAAATAACTTTATAGGTTAAACAATTTGGAATATTCTTGCTTTTAATTTTATTTCACTGAGGAAAAGCAAAGAAGATCTTGGTCACTGCCAGTTACACTGGCCCAAAAAAGGAATCGCAAGAAACACAATGCCTCTGCACAATGACGTGCACCGCAAAAGGAATGCAGGGGCTTTTGAACTTCCAGACCTCTCAACGGCCCTATCGATCAAGCTTTTACTTCCACGGAACTACTATATACAGAATGAGCTTTCGGTGCTCCTACAGCAGGAGTCAGCACATCAGTACTCTCGCAAGGCTCTTACTAACGGATGGAGAGAAAGAGCAGAGCCAACCAAGCAGTCCTCAAATGCAGAATCCCATAAAAGGGGGGAAATGCGTTCATGATGCTGAATTTTAACCTTACGCGGTTGGGCCACAGTTCCTGCCATCCAGTTGTCAACGGAAGCACCATTTATCAAAGCACTAATTTATAGGCAAGCATGCATATGCTAATGCATGATAAAAAGGCTTTTGCAGTAGGCAGCAGGAAATGCTTTCAACTTGCCAACTCAAAAACTGAGAAAATATTCCTATTAACATTGAATTTTGCTTTATTTAGATTTTTTTTTTCACAGCTAATGGGGAATAAGAACTCACCACATAATTGACTAATTAGCAGGCTATCTTCACAGAAAGCAATATACATGCTCCCAATAGTTCTAGGCCATAAGGGGACATGCCCAGATGATGAAATTTAGGAGAACAAGTCTCAATGAATTCAGTCCCACAATACTCACTTGAAGCATCTTTTAGCCTGCACAGATTTCACTGTTAACCAGCCCAGCTGTGCCCACTGCAGGCACATCTTGTTTCCTGCAATGAGGAAAGTATGTATGCATGTGAGTATGCACGTCTAGGTCTTTTCGTGCTCTTCATTTGGGCTACCGTATCTGCTCTGCAAAGATATGGGTGACCTCTAGATGGAAGCAAAGAACTATATTTTTCATTATCTCCTTTCTGCCATTTAGTGGTCACCTGGGTTTTAGAATCCAGATATGGTAGTCCTACTCGTCATATGCAATAAAGCTTCAGCAGTGTGGGAAACTCCCTTCTGAACATGCCCCCTTCGGTAGGTGAAAATATATGAGTAACAAAAAATGCTACTTTAGTTCATAATGAGACCAAATGTGGGAGGACAGCAGCAGTCCTGTATATTTACATACGGAATTGCCCCAAATTAGAAGAGGATATTTAAAAGAACCTGCTTTTAAAAACTGAAAGTGGTACATAAGTGTGTGTACAATGATTGGTTACCTCCATCTGGGCCCTCTCTCTTCAATCATTCTGAGAGCTCAATTCTGTAAAGTAATCTTTGTTAGGGTATTAAAGGAAAAAGCTGCTCAAAGGTAAAATGTAAGAAAGAAGACAGGTCATCTCTTCTCATCTAATGTTAAAACCAGACTCTTCCATCTCCTTCCATCATGACTGAGGCAATTCATGTTTAAACACACTGAATCGTTGGCAGTATGTCTACCTTGGTCTTACAACAGTGTCTTTTAATATATTTTAATGATGAAAATGTATTATTTCTGTTTCTTGCAGGAAAAAAATCTGTAGCATAGCAAGAAGCAAGCCACCGCATAGTACAGCATACAGTAATTCCAACTGATCTCCAAGATGAGATACTGTTGCCATAGTTTCCAAGCACAGGTGTGATGTAAATGATTGCTATACTTACCAGATGGGGACATATATTCTGCATTTGCCCTACAAACCACCTGGACTGGCAGATTGCACATTTGTAAAAAAGCCTGAAAATAAAGCAGAGTAAATTTAAAATGTACATATCATATGAAGGCAAAAGCAAGTTTTTTTTAATATTTGGAATTTTACACCATAAGGTATATTCTTTTCTGTGTAATTATTTCCCAAAACAGATAACTAAAAGAATTGTACTTGTAGTTATTGGCTTCTCACACTGTATTTATCACAACTTCACCACTCTGGATGCAACTACAGATGCACACACAGTTACAGCAATCCAAAATATACATCAGTCTATCTCCCTTACTCATTTTCTTGTACTTTACTATGATAACCTCTTTCTAACACACTGGAAAAAAAACCCTTGCATTCTGTTTTGAGAGCAATGATTACTATAGTTTTAAAATGAATCAATGAAAGCTTCTCCTACAATACTGATTTCTCATGGCTCTTAGCCAACTTTGCATTTTTAAAAAGATGCCATTCTATCATTTTGTTGTACTTCTGTTACCTTTAGTCAAGCATTAAAAGTGCCAGGTCTACAGCACATAAAGCTGTCATACCTGGGCCTTGCATCATAGAGCTGAGCTGACTGAAAAATAAATCCTGCCTCTCCTAATGGACTAGAGGCTTAGGAGCTGAAACTGTGGGCAAGGATCCCCTAGAAGACATCTCTGTTTAGAAACTTCTAAAAAAGCAAGTCTTAATGTGTTTGAGCCCCTGAATAGGCCAGCTCTACAAACAGAGAAGAACTGCTGAGTTCCTAAACAGACCAAAGCTGGAACAATCAAACAGGCTTTGGCTATCCATGAAAATGAGGGTGACAGGAGTAAAGGGCACCAATGGCAAAAGCACTGCTCCTAATAAACCTTTCGCTTTGATTCTCAGTTCCTTCCACAGCAATGGAATACATGTACCAGACAAGCAATATGTCTACTTTGGCCCATAAACTTATTCCCACCAAACATTCAATGAACAATATGAAGAGGGGAGATATCCATAAAGTATAAAGAAAGATTCCAAACTCAGATATTCTGAGTAACATCAAGGCTTTTCTGGAATTGCATATTATTAATCTTACCAGTTCAAGTAGCACTGTAACAATTAATATTTAAAATACAGCTGTAGAGGATGTCAATATGCAAACACTGAAGGGGATCTGCATTTTCTTTCATTAAAAAACGACAATTGAAAAAAAAGTAGAAATTATACAGCATAAAATAATGCACAAAATATTCCAGTTTTCCTATCAAGCAGCAGCAGACGCTGTAAATTGCAAAGTCTGTCTAAAATTATAAATGAAAATGGTTCAGTATCATTCTTGGAGTGATAGAGTATATGCCTAATGCAGTTATGATAATAGTCACATTTGTAGTTTAACATAAATTAAGAGTTTAATTGTATTTGTGACTACTTTAAACAAAGTAACACATTCTTTTGTACCTGCAAATGTAATTTATTGCAAAGCCAGGTTCATTTTCCAGAACAATCTGTTGTATACTACACTGGAATGCTGCTATAATGTAATTCCTGCTGCCGAATGTGGGAAGAGTACACTCACTGGTACCACAGAGGAGGCTTTGAAGATAAATGAAGATGCTATTCATTCAGGGGTAATTTCATCTTAGAACCATATGAAAGATGTTTCACTCAGACACGGTAGATGCCTGGCTTGGGATTTCAGTCTATTTTCAGCTACAGTAATGTTGTTAAATCGATTATGTTGATACTGTATTTCTAATCATGAAGAATTTCAGCTTTTATTCTACTTAAAGAATGGATTGTCAGACTTTCATTACACTGTTCAGCCTCTCTCCAGTTTACAACACAATTACAGTTTCAAATCACAAACTGAAATTATAAATTCACTCTAAAAGAAACACAAATCAGTAAAATGAAAATCAGATAGTCTGCAGCAGCCTTTTTAAAAATCATTATAGAAAAATGGTCCTTTTTCACTGCAAAGAAACTAATGAGCTTCCAATGCACTGTGAGAATTTGTTTCATGTTTTATCCCAATTGCGTGTATGTTTCTACGTTACGTTTGGTAAGCAAACTCCATCATCTTTCTTCAAAATACATACACACAACAACTTGCCAGAGCTGCATGGAATATATTGTCATTTATTTTAATTATTATGTTTATGCCCCGTTTTTTTCCAAGCCATGAGGGAAGACTGAGTGCTGCTCCCTATCCAATTTTAACAAGGATACAGATCCAGACATCCCAGGACTGCATATACACAGCTGTAATCATACTAAACGTAATGCTAATTAAATGCATTTAAACATATTGATTTAAATCAAATTTAGTTTGGTCTTGGTCATGCTGATGCTTTCGAGTGTAATGTTGGCATATCATAGAAAGAGTGTTACAGCCCTTAGCCCAAACAAAGTTTAGCATCCTTCCATTAAAACACTAAGTTTATATAGCAACTGACACTGTGACTTCCTAGGTAATTATTACTTTTCCATCCTCCAAAGACGAAGCAGTGAAGCTTCTTTCTGGATATTCATTTCACTAAAAGCTGGAATACAGTTGAGATTAAGTAAATAAATACAGTTACTAATGTGTAGCTAAGAACAGCAAAGCAGGATTAAATGTGAGTGTGTGTGTCTTTTTACACATATATACAAAACAAATTTTAAAAATATATATTGCACAAAATAATATATCTAAAGGGAAGGGGGAAAATAGTTTCTGTCACAATGGTGATCTGAGTCAGATTCATAATAAAGCAATCAGCATGTCTTTATTATCTTTACAATCCTGAGAATATTTATCACAGAAAATTACCACTCCAGTGCACAAATAGAAAACAGAAGGTGCCAAACAACAAATCCTAAAATTTCCAGTGTTTAAGAACTACAGCTGCATATCCTGACAAGAAAAATATCAGGAATCACTTTTCAAAATGTTTTTCTTCCTTTGTTTCTAGGCAGGAAGTATAGATACAAAAAGAAGAGTAAAAATTTAGCAATCTTATAAAAGATGGATCAAAGAAAGAATCTACACAGCATATTCAAAAACCAGGAAGTGGGAGTTCTTTGCATGTTAACCATCTCATTGACTCTAACGGAAGACCATTTACTATTATAGCTCAGGAGCTGTTTCAGCTCCTGCTCTATTTGGGAGAAATGAACAGGTTCAGAGGGAATTTAATATAGCAGCTTTCTCTCTCATTGCTCCTGTCTTAAGTTCCTTCAATCGTATTTCTGCATCAGTTTGTAAATTCTCTGTTAAAAAGCCCATCTAAAAACGCACATGCCTTTTCCCAAGCATTTTTCATACCATATATACTCGCAGATAAGCCCATCTGTATATTAGCCAACCCTCAAAATTACAACCAAAATACCTACCATGAAAAAATGCATCACTTGGGATAAGCCAGTTGTAAACATTTAAAATAGAATCTGTTCTGGAAAACAAACTTTATTGATACAAAGTATGAAAATAAATGAAGTCCTTCAGAATTTATGGAAAATCCATACAAAAATTATCAAAATATTTAAAAATCCACATCTTCAACATCCGATTTTGGAAAAAAAAAAATTCAGATTCTTCCTTTGTAATACTGTCAAGTATAGACACCATCATTGCTACCTTCATCATCTCATCTTTGTTAGTGGCATCTGCTCCATCATCTTCATATATTGCATCATCTGCTATTCCATCCATGGCATTGCTGATGCCACACTTCAAAAATGAACAGCGAACCATATCCAAAGAAATATTTTCCCATGCATCATTTACCCATTTTGCTCTATATCTGATTCTTTAAATTGCCCCCTTTCCTTAACTCAGCCACGCCAGATGTCATCCATTCCTGCCACATTTTTCCGACTCTGTCTTTAAACGGCTTGTTCAGACAAATGTCAACAGGCTGCAGCACCAGCTATAACAGCCAGAGTTGTCTTTAATGATTTCGCTTTATCCTTGATATTGTCTGCAATAAGCGCTCTGAACATGTCCCAGATGAGAAGGGAAGGTTTCTTCTTGAGAGTAGCACCAGACCATTTGTCCCAAACATCTTCAAGCCACAGTCTTATACCATACTTGTCCATCCAGCCCTTTTCACGGCAACACACAATCACACGCATGCACGCACACACACACACCCCGTTGGAAATTTTGCTTGCTTTGGGAACCTTTTCCACTTAAAAATAACTTAATAGATGTAACTTAGTTCCATTTGTTAAACATGAAAGAACCACAGTAAATTGATTCTTTTCATTTTCCACTGACCTTACAAAAACCAATATTTTTGCCAATATTTGTCATGGTTCGATTGTATGGTACATTGTATGTCATCAATTTCATCCATATTTTTGATATCACCAAGTTCGTACCTATAAAGCTTACATTGTTTAATAATAATTTTTTTGAAAACGTACTTTTTTTGAAAAGGAACAACTTTTCTTCAAGAATTTTGGATAGCACTTGAGAAATTTTACTCCACTGTCTCAAGCAAAGTCCACATCTATTTATGATTTGGAACACCAGCCAACAGAGGAAAAGAAAATTGCTATGCCTCACCTGACATTCTTCTGACTTTGCCATCTGAAGTGCGCATAGACAAATATTGGTCCTAGTAATGGCTGTGCAAATAATTTTCTAGCGCTGGGTCCAAAGCCACTCCATACTGGCATGCCTTCTTCCATTCTGGCATATCTTCTAAACTAGCTTTCCTTTTTTTCCATTCTCAAACTTGTTTTTCATTTACCTCAAATTCTCTGGCAGCAACAGAATTGTTTCATCTCCTCCATTCTCCTAATAACTTTTGGCTTGAAAGCTGCATTATATGATAACCATTGGCTATTTTCAGACATGGTGATTACCTAACTACCAGAAATGTGAATAGTAACAGGGGTGAAACTGCAAACTTTTATGTCATCATTTATAACACTACACAATTTTAAATACAGTAAATGTGCTGAGCCTAATTCAGTTGGAAGACCATTTCCATGCTGTTAAATAGAAGTTTAAAGATGAGGAAAGTATATCCATTCATAGACGTTGATGATTCTGTCAGTTGATCTTACTGTC